GCCGCGCCGTGAGGCGATGGCGTCGGCGCCGCCGCCGCCGCTCCGTCTTCGCCGCGGCAGCGGCAGGCGGTGCGGCAGGCACCTCACGATCACATGGGGCAGCAGCAGCAGCAGCAGCAGCAGCAGCAGCAGCAGCAGGCGTGGTCGTTGCCGTCGGCTTCGGCCCCCCCGTGGCACCCGAAGAGCGTTGCCCAGACGGCAGAGCGAGCGACGGCAGCGACCTTGCGCCGAGGCGCCCCAGCAAGCACCGCGGCCCTTACGACGGCATCGCCGAGGGCCGAGGGAGCCCCGCTGGGCCCCATCATCCCGCAGCTGCGCCTCGCCGACGATGGGGCGCGCGCAGGCGGGGCCACGCAGTCGCTTGAGCCAAAATGGATACGGCACCTAGATGGAACCGAACCGATTGCGCCCTGTTCCCCAAACGCAGCCCCCTCCGCCCCGCCCCCCCCCCTCCCCTTCCGCCCAGCGTTGGCCTCTCCACCTCGGCCACGTGATTTTCGCGTCGCACCACCCCTCCTCCGCCCCTCGCCCCGGCGTTCCCCGGCAGCCCAGCGCCCCCTGCAGACCCCGACCTCCTCCGCCCCAACCGCTTTATTTTCTGGCGCACTGTGTCTAGAGCTCTGGCACATTTGTTATCGCGTCAAAGTGGCTCAAGAGGCCCACAAAACGCCCCAACATGGCTCCAAGAGAACCCCCTCGAGTGCCCCGGACGGCAAGAGTTGCCCCACCTTTTGTGGGAAACGCGCATGTTTAGCACGTGTATTCCCAATCGTCCTGTGGTGTTGGGTCCTCGTTTTGAAGAGACAGCGCCCCGCGTCTGCTCCCTCCTTTGTCTCCTTTTCCTCTTCCTTCTTCTCCTCTTCTTCCTCCTCCTCCTCTTTCCTCCTCCCAGTCGGTGTTGGAGGCTCAGGCGATGTGAGCTCCGACGGAGTGAGGACTATCAGTGAAACCCACTCACACGACTTCCGCCCCATACATTTTGCAGTGACGGGGGGAGGCAGTAGGGGGGAAGGAGGGACGACGGATAATAAACATAACAATCCTTGCAGCCGTTCCGATACCGGTCCTTTTGCGACTTCTTCTCGCGTGACATGGTCGTATTTTGGTGATGGAATCTTGTGCCGCAACTTTCCGAAACTCTATGGAGGATTGAAGTTTTACCTTGGAAACAAGGACGAGCCAAATATGAAAAGAACGGATCCGCCCTACCCACGCTAGGGCATGCCGAGTTGCCAGGGTTGCCATTTGCGAACAATTGGTTGACATAGAGTCGTCAAATGACATCGGTTGTCAGAGGGAAGATGGAGGCCCCGAGTCTCGGAGGCAACCGGAAGATGCAAATGAAAAACATCGAAAACCATAAACGAATCAGTTTTTTGGGGAACAGATGCAGCAGGACATTGAAGACGCACTGCCCCAATGGTGTCCAACATTGCCTGCCTTGCATTCATTTATTCAGCGGCGAGCGAAGGTAGACGACAACGGTTCGAGGGAACATGGAGGCCCTGAGGATTGCAGGTCAGCGGCTGCCACCGATGAAAAACATCAAAAACCAATAGATCCCTGCTTTTCAGGCAATGGGATATGCATGCGCCGCATCTATCCCGACTCCGATGGAAATTTGGACTGTGGCCTTGACGCAAATCAAGAAAGAGAGAAGCACATAACGATTTGATGGGAAAATTTGGCAATGGAAATAGAAGATCAATTCCGTCAAGGGACCAAGAGCCAGAGGGAAGATGGAGCCCCCGAGGTTCGGAGGCCACTGGCCTCAGCCAGTGATCAACCTCGAAAACCATGTCCTCTCGGTCAGCAAATCGGCACATGCGCAACATTTTTTGAGTGCTTCTGAAAAACGCAGGCTCCGTGCTTAGGGCGAAAGTAATTCAACAAAGGTTGCCCCTGGTCTCACACAGCAGGAAGTGGAGGATGCACTGACAGAGTTTAGAACCAATTGACTTCTTCACGCAGTATGGGGGAGACACACCCCACATTGAGCCCGACAGAGATGATCCAGCTCCAGGGCGCCACTTTTGGCAACGTCGACGAAGTTTACGAAATAAGTGATATGGTCCGCGGCGCACTGAAGAACAACTTTGGCAGATTTGCTTCCGTTGCGTAAATTCAGTAACAAATGGCTCTCGGAGGCATGGACTGCATTTTTCGCATAGAATGGAAGACGCCATTTCAGAGTGGGAACTGCTGGGTGGGGTTTGTTATCCAAGTGGGAGACAAGTACACGTTCGCAGAAAGATAACCACCTTGAACGGAGATGTTGTGCCAATTCTCAGCATGGCACATGTACTCCCAGATCTTCGGGGGAAGCAAGTGTGACCATGTAGAGAAAGAAAAACCGAGGTTGTACATCTCTGGGCGCGTTTGGCGCGGGAAGCGTCTGTCTCGGCGCAGCGCGAGGGGGCGGGGTGGGGGAGGGGGGGGGGCGGGGGAGGGGACTCTGTTCGAAGCGTGGGCGCAGCAGGGTGCAGGTAGAATCCAAATCCCGCCCATCAGCAGGCGCTTGGAGTGCAGGGGCCTCCTGCTTTCCCTCCCCTTCCCTATCTCCTCTGCGTTGTCTCCCTGGCTCTCGTCCTCGGCCCATCTTCTGAATGTGCCGTATGCTCTCCCAGCTTTCCTGATATATAAGTGTGACCTTGCAGGGGGCGGAAAAAAAGGAGAGGTTGAGCGTTTCTGAGCGCGCTTGGCGCGGGAAGCGACACTTGAACGCGTTTGGCGCGGGAAGCATGAAGCATGTGTCTCGGCGTAGTGAGAGCAGACAGAATACGAGCGAGGACATTTCGGATTGCTAGAGTTCCTGCATTGGTGGAGGGGGGGGGGCGGGCTTTTGGGAACGCAGGCACTCGGGTTCACACATTAAACAAGGACTCAGGGAAACCCCTACTTGGGAACCCTGTTCGCCTGCGCGCCCCCCAGAGTGGCACGCGAACAGGCCAGCGGCTGTTCCCGTCGCAGTGACCCGAGGGATCCGTCTTCATCAGCGAGCCTGTCTCACGGGGCCACCTCGGAGCTCGCCCCCTTGAGCTTCGGGGTATGCCTCCTGCCCGCCCTGGGAGAAGTATGGGGCGCGCGGCACTATTTAATCGCGGGGGGTTTTCTAGTCACGCGCGCAGCTCTTTTGTAGGTGTTGACGTAGACCCCCTTTGTGCGGATGTCCTGTCCCGTCTTGTTTGTCCTCCTTTCGCTTCCCTTTCCCATCCCTGCGTGTAGTTCTCCGCGTGTCAATCTTTGTGAACCCTTCACGAGTTTCGTGGCTTCCTAAGTAAAGAGCTTCACCGAAGGCCCCAGTACTGGCAGGGTCCGCGTGCAGTTCCACCACGAATGTTGTCGCGCCTTACGCGTTTCGTGGCCCCGTACGGAGCTGCATCGAAGGCCCCAGTGGCAGTGTCTGCGTGCAGTTCCACCCCCTTTTCCGGCGCACGCCTCACACGTTTTCCGCCCTCAATTTCGGCGCACCCGTCACACCAGTCGTGCCTCCATAGGAAGGTCCTCTTGAGGCCCAGTGGCAGGGCCTTCATACAAGTCCACCCTCTTTTGGAGCCCTCGCTGCTCCGCCGCACTCCTCCCCGCCCACACCTCGGGGCCCTCTCCGATCCGAGCCATCCGGTCCACTTCGTACTTCGCCGATTTCTGTCGGTTGGGTCCGATTCGGTTCCGGTTTTCGGGCGATACACGCGGCCCCATGCTTGCACGGCGCTGCTGTTCATCCAGCTGAGCCGATCGGGTTTCGACTCCGCACGGATCTGGCCCATTCCGACGCACCTCCCGAGCCGATGCGTTTTCCGGATTCGGTGCCGCACTGTCCCTCCCCCCGTTTGGCGTTTTCAGTGGTGTTGGGATCGAGGATCGAGCTTCGATTGTTTTCGGGGCAGTGTTCTCCGCTCATTTGTGATAGAGCTTCGATTGTTTTCGGGGCAGTGTTCTCCGCTCATTTGTGGCGGTGGATTCTTTTGCGCCGCCACTGCCAGATACGCCTGACGATTGCAGTCGGAGACGAGCATGGGTTGGATGAAACATCCCAGGTGGATCATGATCTTTGGAGGCAGCGTAAAGACGACCCGGATTATTCCCTCGATACCATGTGGACATTCAGTCCACGTCTGCAATGCTGCATTGACAAGCCTGTGCACGTCAATTTCTCCTTCTGCCTTGCCCCCCTCCTCCGAACGCGATCCACGCTCTCGGAGACAGCACCTTCTGCGTATAGCCGGCTGCAGGTGAATGAGCGCCCAGCGCGCTAAAGACAGGCACACCGCAGCACGTATTATTTCCCTACCTAGGCTCTGCCTAGAAGGGTTCTTACTCGGTTTGCTTAAAGGGCTGGGCAGTGTTCCTCGCCCCGGGCGGTTCCCCCCGCATTCGCCCCGCGGTTCCCCCAGTGACGTTCCCTTAGCTTAGCGTTGCTTACCTCATCTTAGCTTAGCTTATTTCATCTTAGCTTAGCTTAGCTTCATCTTAGCTCAGCATTATTCCCTGCCTAGACTCTGCCTAGAAGGGTTCTTACCCTGTTAGCTTTAGCTTAGCTTTAGCTTAGCTTGAGCTTAGCTTTAGCTTAGCTGTATCTTAGCTTTAGTTTAGCTTTAGCTTAGCTTTAGCTTAGTTTTAGGTTCGATTTAGCTTAGATTTAGCTTAGCTGTAGCTTAGCTTTAGCTTAGCTTCAGCTTAGCTTTAGTTTAATGTTAGCTTAGCTTTGCTGTTACTACTACTGCTGCTTTCCTAGGGGCTCCAACTTCTAGGCAGGGCCGCACTGGGATAATAGTTGTATTTCCGTATATATATATATACATATATGTTATATATATATATCTATATAGATAGATATATGTGTGTATGCGCTCCAGTGGTCCCATGTGCACCCTGGGCCAGTTGCCTCCATGTCGATCTGCGAGCCCCTCATCCCCCTGCTTCTTGCCTCTCCTGCTCCCCGCCTCACCCCAGCCACTCGTCTCTCCCCCCTCCGCCAGTAGCCCTAACCCCTAACTGCCATGGACTTGGCTCCGCCGGCGGACTTGGAGTGCCCACTGACCGCCAGATCGGGCAAGACGTTCGAGCAGATCGTGGCCGAGTTCAGGCAGCACGATCCAGACGGCCAGGCTGGGGAGCGCCAACTACAGGGGGAGACATAAACATGGTGATGCTGATGCCCATCCTTCGTCGTCGCTTCTGTGGGCCTCCGCGGGGGGCTCTCCTCACCACGGCTGGCTTTCCCACCGAGATCTCGTGAAAAGCGCGCCCCCAGGGAGGGTTTGGGGAGCGGCGGCATCTGGGAGAGGCCCCGGGTGGCCAGGCGGGGGAACGGCAGCGGCTATGTTTGATGAGTGAAGATCAGGGGTGAGGACGAAGGGGGGCCGGGGCCATGGTATCTCCGCCACTTAGCATGGCACCATCTTCTTGTCCCTCTTGCACTCTTCATGGCTCATTCTCCTCCCCTTTGTCGTCATCCAGTGCGTTCCGTGGATCCCCCCCCTCTTCCGCGCACGTGCCTCGGGCCATGGTGCGCGAACCCCACTCTTCCTTGGCCCTCCCTCCTCGTCGCCCGAGATCTTGCTTCGGCGTAGACTTCCGCAGGTCCGCGCAGATCTGTGTGGTCGGCGCTTGGCCCCCGCTCCCCTGCTGGCGCCTGCTGGCGCCCCGCTGCGCGCGCCTCGCGCGCGGGGGGGAGGTGGGTCAGCGCCGTCCCGAGAAAGCTTCGCGGAGTTCCGAGCGTGAATGCTGCCACATTCGGGTCGGGCGAAAGGGGGGGATTGGGAAAGGGGGGGGTACGAAATTTGCTGCATGCAGCTGGTTTCGGCCTCACCGAGGGGCCAATTCCTCGATACATGGCCGCTCCCGGCGCCGGGAGGCGCCAGGAAAATCAGCTACGTGAGCTGATTATCACCCCCCCCCTTTGCTATCCCCCCCTTTCGCCCGACCCGATACATGTGTCTGTCGTTCACCTGTGTGCGTGTGCGCGCACCCGGACTTCTCACCTCCTGCCCCGTGGCAGGCCAATGGGGGAGCACACATGCGGTGGCTTTCCTGCGGCTCCCTGCCGCGCTTGCCTGTGGCTTTTCTGTGCTCCTGCTCGCAACGCACACCACCAGATGCGGCGGAGAGCTTGAGAGATCCATCTTCCAGAAGTGCCCTGCGGCTCTGGCACGGGAGGGTCCCCGTGCTCATGCTCATCGGTCCAGGCCCAGGACTGGGCTCCATGCGCCAGGTCCCGACCTCTTCCCCAGGAGCACTCCTTCTCTGACGGGGGCCCAACAATAGTAGATGCAACAATGCTGAGACACACGTGGCCAGCGCTCAGATCTGGTCCCAAGCCGAAAGGCTCAGCACTTGAGAGGTCCTAACAGTTGCCCGCTTAAGGTATCTCGTCCGCATGCTGCACAGAGCACCGCCCATGATCAGAGCACTAGTGGAGATCGTCGAGGAGCCCCCCAGAGGCCGAGACGAAGGAGAGCCCGCCGGGACGAAGCAAAAACCTCGCCGTCGGTGATCTGGGCAGTTGGCGTTCCCTCGCCAGGGTTAAGTCGGGCCTGTCCCACTACAGCAGGAATATTCAACAATAGTAAAAAGGTAGTCAGGGGACGAGTTGTTTCAGCATCTTTTGACAATTTTGGGGGTATTTGTTTGACCTTTTTTCATCTGTCGCCCAAAATTCCCCTGTAGGGGGACACGCCCGACTCAACGCCAGGGCACGATGGAGCGAGGGCAGCTGCTGCACTTCCTGCGGCAGGTGCTCGCGCCCGCGTGCGCGGAGCACGAGATAGAGCTTGTGCTGCGCGCGTCGGGGGCCCCGGAAGCTGGACGCGTGGCCTACGAGCAGTTCTTCCGGTGGCTATCCTGCTGCGCTGCCGCGCGGATCTCTCCCCGGGGTCCCCATGCATGCTCGTGACGGGCTGTTTCACAACATCAGGACTTTTTTGAGGTCGGGGACGGCGTCGGGGTGGTGTGGTGTGTATGCTTGTTTCCCCGCTGTCCCGTGGAGCCAACAAAACATGTATACACCAGGATGCCGTATACACCATAATCCGTACTCTTGTGCGAATCTCAGTGCGGGACGGGCCGGACGAAAGGTGGGGATAGGGAAAGGGGGGGTTACGAAATTTGCTGCATGCAGCTGGTTTCGGCCCCGCCGCCGGGCCCGTTCCTCGATACATGGGCGCCCTGGGCGCCGGGAGGCGCCGGGGAAATCAGCTACGCGAGCTGATTCTAACCCCCCCCTTTGCTATCCCCCCCTTTCGCCCGGCCCGATACATGCTCTCGTCGTGAACTAAAACACAACATCACTTTGTTCGCAATG